CCGATATGAAAGTATCAGGGTTCTTCAGTTAAGAGAGAAGAATTTTTAGCAAGATTCACACAGAGGTCACTTTATATTCACTTTTCTGAGTCTTAGTTTTCTCATCTAAGAGATGTGTCTTATACACTGTGTGGGGTAAAAGTTAATGGTGCAAGTGAACAGAATCAAGCCTCATTCCGTTATTCCTGAGTAGCAGTGTGGCATCAAATTTGTGACTAAAAACAGTCAGCAAACCTTTTAGTTGGACTTCTTTTGTTTTCCTTAAGTACAGTGCCTTTGGGATGCTTAATCTTGCTTAATCATCTAGCAGATTCACGTAAATCATTTCAATAATGTTTTGTGATTTTTGCGATTCGGAGAAGCTTTTTTTAAGGTGAAACTATGAGACTGACAGTATTATACATGAAGGCAGCAAGAACGGGGTCACAGGTCATCTGGGGTCATCTAATCTTCAAAAGATTAAATATTTTACTTTTTCTTTTTTTATCCTGAAATGAATACTTCTTGTGTTATTTTAGATAAGACAGGTGGGAAGAAGTTTTCCAAAGAATTTGAAGAGGCAAGCGCCAAGCTGGAGGAGTTTGTGAATGGATTAGATAAGCAGGTGAAAAATGGGCCCTCACTAACAGAAGCACTGGAAAATGCTGGAATTTTCTATGAAGCACAGTACAAAGAGGTGAAAGTCGTGGCCAATGTAAGTAGCAGTTAAGAGCTGTCTTGTACTGGTCACTTGCTGTGTGCCAGCGGCAGTTTTATGTGCGTTGTTTAACTCGGTGCGGATGGGCATTGTTATCTTCATTTCGCAGAGGAAGAAGTTACGTTAGAGGAGTGTCGGGAACCTTGTTCAGGGAACACGGCAGGTGGCGGCATCTGAGTTAACACCTGGGTCTTTCTGAACATTAAAGCTCATGCACACCCTCATCATTATGCCTCGTGTCTTAGCGTTTTACAGGGAGTACGCTGGGTGAATATACAGAATATAAAATTAGGCTGAAGTATATGGAATTTTTTTTAACCAGGAAAACTAGATGGAAACATTCTGTTACTAAAGTTCATATAAACCAACTGAATTTAGGGGCCTCAGTCCCCACCTCCACTGGCAGGGGAGTTGATAATTGGACACTCGTCTAATGGCCTCTGCAAGAAACTGTATTCTGTACTTACTCGGTTTTTTAAAAGTTTTACTCACTACATGTGATCAGAAAAGTAAATGGTGGTGTAGATCCCACGGTCCCACCTCCTACACACAATTCCTTTTAACTCATGGAGCTATATTTCCTGGCGCATGCCCCCGTATTTCTGAATTATATGCCCATGTTGTTCTTTATTGGTTCATCCTATTTAAGAAATATCTATTGACTTTTTGATATGACAGATGAGGAGTTAGCTTATACTTACCTGTCTTGCCCTTTCTCCCAATATTATGTAACCATTTGATTGAAGTCTAGTTGAACCTTGAACAAGGTGTGATCAGAGGCCCTGACTCTCCCCACTCCATTTGAACATCTGCGTATAACTTTCAACTTCTCAAACATTTAAGTGCCATGCAGTATCCACTGGGGACTGGTTTCAGGACCCCTGCAGATGCCAGCATTTTCAGATGCTCAAGTCCCTTATGTAAAATGACCTAGAACAATGCACACAGTGGCCCGCCTCATCTGCGGATTGAAAATAAGTGTTTTCGACTTATGGTTGGTTGAATCTGCAGAGACGAAACCAAGGGGTACAGAGGGCTGACTGATCAATTGTATATTTATTGAAAAGAATGTGTAAGTGGACCCGTGCGGTACAAACCGCCGGTGTTCAAGGGTCAGCTGTACCGTACTGTTTTTTGACCACTAACTCTAGACTCTCTCCACTTTGTGAGGTGAGATATTAATATCCTCGTCCTTTCCCATTCGTTTTCATCTGTCCTTTCGGTTTCCCAGCTTCCGAACTGTACTTTACTTTTACATTGTGAAGGTTGAGAATATTTAGATTCTGTTCTGTAATCATAATTGTCTTACTTCCTTGCTCTAAAGGTTGAAAATTAATAAAGCTTACATTATAACTATATAAATATGTTCACTGCAAGGTCTTATGGTAACTGTGGTTATATTACAGATGTTTGGTTTTTTCCTATAGAATTTCTTTTTTTCTTACCCATCCCTCCCCTTCTCCGCACCAACCTCCCCCCCGCCACCCCTAGCTCTCTGTCACATCGATATTCTGAATCTGCATTTCCCCCAGAGGCCCACCCACCTGAACTTCATTCTCCTGCTGCAGTTTTAGGTCTCCAGGTCTCATCCGAGGACTACGCCACTGTTGTCCTCGTACATGCTTCTTGTCGTTGGTTTGTACCTTTGTATTCCTGTGCTCTTCATTTTATAGGAGTCTTGTGAAGGAGAAGCCATGAATAAGAATGGTCAGCCCCTATTCAGATTGACCAGTTTTTAATAGCAGAAGATTCTGTCCATAATCACAACTTGCATTTATTGTATTTCTTTTTATTTTCCTTTGATTGAAAACAGTTCTTCAGTCTTTTTTTTTTTTTTTTACTTTCATGACCTAAATATGTTTGAAGTCAAATACAATGTTCCCCAATTTGGATTTATGTGCTGTTTCTTTGTGATCAGATTGAC